ATGAGGCCGAAATAAACTCCATTTAAGGGCCCGTTTGAATAATGGAAGTATTAGAAGTAAGAAGTAGGTTATAGAAATAACTTTCAAAGCTATAAAGTAGTAAGTAGTGGAAATAGCATTTTTTGTTTGTTTCATATATTTTTAGAAGTGATGGAAGTAAAACTTTTTCCTCTTCATTTATTTTTTTTTTGTTTGGATAACATTTGAAAATATTATTAGGAAGTAATTTTATCAACGAAAAGTTGTTAGAAGTAACTAATAAAGGAAATATTAATAAAAAAAATTATTTATGTCATAATTAATATGCATTTCAACTACTTCCGAGCTACTTCTGAATATTGAGGATTGGAAAAAAATTTTGGAATTAAGGATGACACGTAGGCGCCACATAAGCATTTAAGGAAGTATTGGAAGTAGGTTTTTCAGAGAACCAAACACACTTTTTTGTTTGGAAGTAGTAGAAGTAGCCTCTACTTCTTTTACTTCGGCTACTTCACAATTACTTCCGTGCAAACAAACATGCCCTAAGCTTCTGTTTCAAAGCGGGTCAGGTTTTATAAATTGATGGTTGGTTAGATCTGCAGCTGTGGTGGATTTTTTCTTTTTTATTTGAGGGTTAGATAGGTAATTTAGACCTAAAAATCATTTAAATTTAACAGCAGTTAGAGTGAGGGAAAATTTGATGGAACAAAGCCATCTGACAGGAAAATTTTGAATTATAAACATTTGGAGAGCACTAGTTAGCGGAGCCGGGGGGAAGCATGCGCCAAATTTAGTTGTGAGTTTATGCAAAAGAATGTTATATTTTATCTACTTCTTTAGTACTAAAGGAGAACAACAAAACTGCTAATATGAACAGTAACCTAAGATTATAAACAATGAAAAAAAATTAAATGAATAACCAACCTACGTTCTCTCATGTTTCCCCAATCTCTGGTGCAGTTTTCCCTTTCCCCCATTTTCTTTAAATCTCCGCTTCGTCTTCTTCAACTTCAGATATCGCGTTCTGCCTTGAGAACTCAAGCTCGGTTGTGGTTTCCCCTTTCCCCATTTAATCTTCTTCCTCTTCAACAAATTCTCATCTCATCTTCTTCCCTCTTTAACAATCCAGACCCCAATCACATTAGCATCATACACTGGCTATTATCGACTCAAACCCTAGCAGATCCCACGTCTTCATCATCGACTCAAACCCGAGCAGATCCTACGTCTCCAACATTGTCGTCACGCCTCCTAATTCCTCTTCCTCAAAACTAGCGAACTGGAGAAATTTAACAAGGTTTATCCTCTGTTCCTTATTTTGTTACGAAGCCCTAGAATTTTGCAAATTCATTTTTTGCCTTTTCTAATTCATTTTGCAAACTAATTTTGTACAGGCGGGGAGTCGTAAAGATGTATTCCATCTATTCGCCATAGTTGTCATTTAATTTGACTACAATAAGAAAATTGAGTAGAGGAATTAATTCTCTGTATTTCTAGAAATTTATATGCATGACACATGTTCTAAATTTTAGCCAGCTTTTAGAAACATGGAAGACATTTTATGGGCAGAACTTCTAGCTACTTATTAAATGCATTTATTAGCCATTGGTCCCTCTAGATTACAGGCAAAGAAAATTACCATCAATAAAAGTCTGATGTATCAACCAATGAGAAGTACACTTTGTCTATGGTAGAGAATCCGAAAGGCTATTAATAGTTCAAGCATCAATAGGTAAAGTGGTTACTATATGAAGAAAGTGGAATGTTACTTGACAACATAGCAAGGTTACTAGAACATCAAATAGTGAAAATATACAACAACAACAACAACAAAGCCTTTATCCTAAATTGTTGGGGTCAGCAACATGACTTCTATTGTCCTGTTTAGTTACATTAAGGTTTGTCTCATCCATTCATTTTTATGATATCACTGTTAATTGCTTCCAAATAAGTTATCTTAGGCCTACCTCTACCAATTGTATCATTCACTATAATCTTTGAGTCAATGTTACCATAGTTGTCATTTAATTTGACTACAATAAGAAAATTTTGGTATTATGTATTATTAATATTAGAATCTTTTAGTATGTATTCCATCTATTCGCCATTAAGTCATTTAATTTGAGTTTTATTGTTAACTAACTCTCAAAACGTACATATACAAGGCAAAATCACAATGTGTACACTCATATAACCACGATTCTTTGAGTTTTTGGTTAAAGAAGATTATGTCACTAATTAATATATATTTTTGTAGGTACTGTATGTTAATAATATTAGAAGCATTCATTAATTGATTATGTTAGTCATGTTAACACCATTGAATTATATAAATGCATGCTTTTTCTAAGGTTTCTTGGCCTCGCTCTTAATCTTGGCCTCCACTGCTTGTTTCATCCATATTAGCTTCATCGTTGATGTTGCTATTGCGCGAACTGCCATTGATTGCAACGAAACCATAGAGATTGAGGAAGGGAGAAGGGAGACTAATCAAATCATACTTTTCCAGACATTTTTCATATTTATATAGTTAATGCTTCTTTTTTGTTTATTTATTAACAAACATGGATGTCATTATTTGCATTACATCTACTCTTTCATTTCTAAAGCAGAATATTTTATTTTAGTAACATGTTTAGGATTTACAGAAAATCTTTTAGAAACCGTGTTTTGCATAGGTCTAAATACTAGTATATGTAGAAATTAGAATAACGAAGACTATATTTACAAAAGTAAGGTTTATGTGCAACTTTTATAAGAATGGTCAATATGTATAGAGATAGTAGTTAATAATCTTACAAGTTATTTTAAGTATAGTCAATATCCAAAGTGTTTAAAATTATAAAATTACTACATTTATAATAAGGGGTTTTTGTTTTTAGGCTCATTTGTTTACTCCTCTTTATATTTTTAAACTCAAGTACTATTAATTGTATCTTTAAGTCCAATTCTCTTTTTGTATTTATCTTTAAACCCAATCTCCAAAATACAATACTTTCAGCACTTGTATTTATACAGAATCCCTAAAATACCCCTTGGCCCCATATAAACCAGTATCTCTCATCATCTTACCCTTTTCAACTCAGCCCTAAATTAAAAAATGACAGCCCCCTTGCCGCGTCGCCAGTCTCTAATCGCTATCGCTCGTCTCCAGTCGTCGTCTCTGTTGCNGAACAGAGGAGGATTTTTTTAGTTGGTCAGCCAGGAGACTAGAATATTAAAATTCTTCCTTCTCCGATTCCGGTTTCATCTCTACCAGATCCAAAACCAAGAAGACCCCAGGAGATCAGAATATAAATTCTCGCTCTCGCCGATTCCCGGGTTCATCTCTACCAACAAACCAAGAGACCAGAAGATAGAACTATAAAATTGCTTTCTGCCATCCGATCTCTGGGTTCATCTCTGCCCAACGAAACCTAAGAGACGGCAGGAGATAGAATATAAAATCTCTTCTCTGCTGGATTCGCGGGTTCATCTCTACCAACAAAAAAGAAGACGGCCAGGAGATAGAATATAAAAATTCTTCCTCTCAGCGATTTTCGGTTTAATTCTGCTAATCCAACAAAAGAGACCAATATACTCCAATGAAGGTGACAGGAGTCTAGAATTGTTTGCCACTAGCCTCAACAGAAAGTTTCTGGGAATATTACTGTCAACAATATTCATTAGAATACACCTGACTAGCCTCCCGCAACGTTTTATATGAGTTTAAAACTGTTTCCCGACACTCCAATAAGAGCCATCATGAGTATTAATTTTCTCTTTTTCTCAACCACAGTTGCTGATTCAGACCCTTCCGACAACGGCCACGGACGCGATTAAACGCCAGTAACCTGGATGTGAATTAGTTATCTACACAAGCACTGAGTAGATAAAGATAAAGAAGTCAAGGCATTGAAGCCATTCACGAGATCATTCTACCGGCAACTTCCTGCGAACAAAGGCAGCTGGAGAAATTGCTCAAGGAACAGCTATCATGATCCAAAGTGTGCCGCAGAGCTCCTCTCTAGAAAAAATGATGAGTTCTGAGATCACTTTGGAGTGTGGTATCTGTATGGAGGCGTCGAAATGCTTGCAGCATCCAAATACCACTGCAACAACAATATGGGAGAATAATTTACACCGTCATCAGGGCAACCACAATGTGGCCGCCCCCCCCGCACCGCATGGCGTCGCGGCTAAGCGCGACAGCACATAGTGCCGCTGGCTAAGCGCGCCGACACAGCACATCAGTGCGCGTGGCTAAGGCGGCGAAGCACCACATAGCTGCCGGCCGCGCGGCTAAGCGCGGCAGCTGTTGTGCGGCCGGCTTAGGCGCTGCAAACCTAGGGTGTTCGCTGGCTATATTCAAAGGATGATGTGGCGGTAGCAAGGCACGGTTATATGAATGATTTTTTGAGGCCTATCGTGGCAGCGATACTCAAAATAGAAACGTGTGCTCGACTTGGGACTAGCAGCTTAAACCGCACGGTAAAAAGTGGTTAACAGGTCGTGGGGAACGGTTTCCAAGCACTGATGGACACGTGCTGATAACCGTCTCCTTTGGCCGCGGCAGCTTATAACCTCCGCGCCCAATTAGCCGGCCGGCAGCCTTAGTAACTAGCGCGCCACATAAGCCAGCGGGCAAGCGTGTGACCATGCAGCGGCCAAGAGAGAAAGCACTTTGGCTGCAGTTATTCCGCCGCCCGCGTTTTAACTGTGGTGGCATCTGAGACCCCTATAAATACTCCTGACACACGAAATAAAAGGGGGAGCAGCAGACTACGAGCAGAGGGCGCTTGAGTTTTTGGGCTGAATTACGAACACAGAGAGAGAGAGTCTTCCTTCTTCAGCAAACATCCTCAAGCAAGCTTTCTGGGCGATTTCCCTAGAGATCTAAGCTCCAGACTTGATCTTTGAAAGAGGTGAAACATCTTACACTCGATAAGATATTCGCCCTTCAAATTCTTCACTACTTGCGATACAGAAGACCGAATCATTAACCGCCTCACGGTTCAATAGAATCCTGTGATTCGTGGTCCACCGCGAGTCAAAGCGCTCGACCAGCACACCTGCCGGCAAGTCCGACGGCAAGCCAGTGATCCTAAACAACGATCTGTGTTTGTTTTACTAAGAAGTTTGTAATTTTCATTTTGTTGTGTAAACAGATAGTCCTTATACAAAGGCTATCTCTTTTGAATTTATCCTGTAATCGACTGAAAATTAATGAATTCGCACAACGAGAGCACGACTTTTGACGCAAAGCAATCCTCACCACCTCATCATGTGAATACATCTCACGAATCGGCCCCCATACCATGGTAAAACACATCAACACCACCGTACATTACAAACACATCTAATATAGTTTCGTATCGCTAGGGCGACGGGCGCGGTAGCAATGGAGACGGTGGCTGGAGACGCGGCAACAAAAGAAATACCCCGCTTCTTCCTTCTTCCCATTTATATATCATCCTCTCTCCGACGCTTAACATTCCCTCTACACTGCAACGCCACCCTCCAGTGACCTCCTCCCCTTGCCTTTCACAGGATAATCTCGACCCCCCCCCCTGGTCACCCGTCACTTACAATACGGGTGCATATTATCAAACCACGCCTCCTCGCTCCCCCGACAAAAAAAAAGACATGATTATAAGCAGCTAAGAAAGCTACATTAATTCATTCAATCGAAAGTTGCTCCTTGGTATTGGTCTCCATGCATGTTGCCTCATCTAAAAACGCCAACGTTTTTAGACTGCATTCAAACTTGCGCCATTAACAAAACAGCTGGAGACGACGGCTGGAATAGAAGGCGGTAGAGATGGGCTGGTGGGCCATAACCAAGACGCAGGTGGAGACGGCAAGCGATGGCAACGGCGACGGCGGTGGGCGACGGCAGCCCACCACCCATCTCTAGCCGCCTTCTATTCCAGCCGTCGTCTCCAGCTGTTTTGTTAATGGGCAAGTTTGAATGAGTCTAAAACGTTGGGTTTTTAGAATGAGGGTGCAACATTCATGGAGACCAATACCAAGGAGCCAACTTTGAATGAATAATTAGCTTTCTTAGCTGCTTATAATCATGTCTTTTTTGTCGTTGTTTGATAATTGCACCCGTATTGTAAGTGACGGGGTGACAGGGTGGAGGGATTTCCTGTTGAAAGGCAAGGGAGGAGGTCACTGGAGGGTGGGTCGCCAGTAGAGGGAAATGTTAAGGTCGGAGAGAGAGGAATGATATATAAAAATGGGGAAGAAGGAAGAAGCGGGTATTTCTTTTGTTGCCCGTCTCCAGCCACCGTCTCCATTGCCTACCGCCCCGTCGCCCTAGATACGAAACTATATAGATGTGTTTGTAATGTACGGGTGTGTTGATGTGTTTTTAATGTATGGGGGGCGATTGGTGAGATGTAATTCACATGATGAGGTGGTGAGATTGTTTGCGTCAAAAGTTGCTCTCGTTGTGGAATTCATTATATTTTCAGTCGATTACAATAAATTCAAAAGAGATAGCCTTTTTATAAGACTTCTTTTACACAACAAAATGAAAATTACAACTTCTTAGAAACAAACACAGGATCGTTGTTTGGATCACTGCTTGCGTGGGACTTTGCCTGTGCCGGGAGCGCTTTGACTCGTGGACCACCGAATCACAGATTCTGATTGAACCGTGAGGGGTTTAATGATTCTTCCTTCGTTTATCGAAGTAAGAATTTGAAGCGAATATCTTATCGATGTAAGATGTTCACTCTTCCAAAGATCAAGTCTGAGCTTAGATCTCTAGGAATCGCCAGAAGCTTCTTGAGGATGTTTGTGAAGAAGGAAGACTCTCTCTCTCTTGTTCTAATTCACCCAAAACTCAAGGCCCTCTGCTCTAATCTGCTCTCCCCCTTTTATTTCGTGTGTAGGGAGGTATTTATAGGGGTCTCAGTGCACCACAGTTAAAACGGGGGCGGAATAACTGACCAAGTGCTTTCTCTTTGGCCGCTGCAGTCTACACTGCCGCGGCTATTGGCGCGGCAGTAGCGGCAGTATAGGCTGCCGCGGCCAAAGAGACGGTTATCAGCACGTTCCATCGTGCTTGAAACCGTTCTCCCACGACCTTTAACCACTTTTTCCGTGGTTTAACTGCTTGTCCACGTCAGCACACGTTCTATTTCTGATATGCTGCCACGTAGGCCTCAAAAATCATCAGATAACTCCCTTAAAACTGCCACAACATTCTTCTTTAATTGCCGCGGCACCATAGGTTGTAGCGGTTAAGCCGCGGCACCATAGGCTGCAGCGGTTAAGCCGCGGCATCATAGGCTGCCGCGCCTTAGCCGCGGCACTTTGATCTGCCGCGCCTTAGCCGTGGCATCTTGGTCTGCCGTGCCTTAGCCGCGGCACTATGTCTTGTCGCGCCGCCATGTGTTGTTTGATGACGTGTATATTCTCCTATGTCATCTTGAGTGGTGTTTGAATGTCTGTAAGCATTTTTTGACGCCTACAGATACCCCCTCCAAAGTATCTCAGACTCATCATTTTTTTAGAGAGGAGTCTGGGACACTTTGGATATGATAAGCTTTCCTTGCAATTTCTCCAGTGCTTTGTTGAGGAAGTTGCGTAGAATGATCTGTGAATGGCTTCAATCCTTGACTTCTTTATCTTTTAGTCTACTCAATGCTTTTATTGGAGTTCTCGGGAAATAGTTTAACCTCGTATACCCGTTGGGAGGTAGCCAGGTTATTCTTAAGAATATTTTGAGTGATATTCTCCAGAAACTTCCTGTTGATGGTAGGGAAACAGTTTAGACTCGTGTACCTATTGGAGTAATATGGTCTCTTTTTTTTTGGTAGAGATGAACCCGATGATGGAGAGGAAGAGTTTTATATTCTATCTCCTGGTCTCTTGTTTGTTGGTAGAGATAAACCCGATGATGGAGAGGAAGAATTTTATATTCTATCTCCTGGTCTCTTGTTTGTTGGCAGAGATGAACCCAGAATCGGAGAGAAAGAATTTTATATTCTATCTTCTGGTCTCTTGTTTGTTGGTAGAGATGAACCCGGAATCGGAGAGGAAGAATTTTATATTCTATCTCCTGGTGCAAAAGAAATTCAAAGTGGGATCTCCACTTAGAAAATCTAGACTGGTTTGAATAATCCTAACTGTCATAAGGTTTGATTATCCAATTCAAAGCTGGACCTTTCGTTCGTAAAATGAATCAAAAGGAGATTTTGGCTGTGGTCCTAACTGTAGTAAGGTTTGACCAAGTGGGAGTTCTGAGATGATCCTAACTGTTTAAAGGTTTGATCATTCAATTTGTGGACCTCTCGTTCATGGAACGAATCGAGAGGGGATTTTGGCTTTGGTCCTAACTGTTTAAAGGTTTGACCAAGATGGGAATTTGAGACGATCCTAACTGTTTAAAGGTTTGATCATTCAATTTGTGGACCTCTCGTTCATGGAACGAATCGAGAGGGGATTTTGGCTTTGGTCCTAACTGTTTAAAGGTTTGACCAAGATGGGAATTTGAGACGATCCTAACTGTTTAAAGGTTTGATCGTTCAATTTGTGGACCTCTCGTTCATGGAACGAATCGAGAGGGGATTTTGGCTTTGGTCCTAACTGTTTAAAGGTTTGACCAAGATGGGAATTTGAGACGATCCTAACTGTTTAAAGGTTTGATCGTTCAATTTGTGGACCTCTCGTTCATGGAACGAATCGAGAGGGGATTTTGGCTTTGGTCCTAACTGTTTAAAGGTTTGACCAAGATGGGAATTTGAGACGATCCTAACTGTTTAAAGGTTTGATCGTTCAATTTGTGGACCTCTCGTTCATGGAACGAATCGAGAGGGGATTTTGGCTTTGGTCCTAACTGTTTAAAGGTTTGACCAAGATGGGAATTTGAGACGATCCTAACTGTTTAAAGGTTTGATCGTTCAATTTGTGGACCTCTCGTTCATGGAACGAATCGAGAGGGGATTTTGGCTTTGGTCCTAACTGTTTAAAGGGAACTTCCCGTTATATAAATCATCTACCCCCAGCTTCCTTTGCGAAACCGGGTTTAACATTGTACTCAGTTGGATAATCGAGAAGCAGTTTATACTCATATGCTCTTTGGAGTGTGGGGAAACAGTTTATACTCGTGTACCCAATGGAGTTTGGGGAAACAGTTTATACTCGTGTATCCAATGGAGTATGAGTCGTCTTTACTTGGCTTGTTTCGCCGTTATGACGTCGGAGTCAATTAAGGCTTGGATTTTATTTTTGAGTCCAAAACAAACCTTGGGGGGATGAAGAACCCTTCTGTGGTATGCACAGTAGTTTGGATCTGTAATCCTTTTAGCTCCCTCCTGATCTTTAATAGGTGGTAGCTCGATCTTGTCGTTGGCGAGGAGGTATTTCAATATGGCTGGAGCTTTATCATCTTCGAAAGAATACTCCTTCTGAAACCTCGGATCGAGAGTCTCGTTCCCAGCGATTGCAGATGTCGTTGGTCGGCTTCTCTCAGCTTTCTTTCTTTTAAGAAAGTGTTCAGCTTGTTCGCCGCGCATTTTCAAATCTTTCCAAGTTTTGGATGGTACGACTCCCAGGGCTTCCAGGACATCGATAGAGAGATTATTGTGGCATGTTTGCAGAATGAACTCCTCTATAACAGGATCTCTACAATTCATTGCCTTGTTACAGAAGCGCTTGACAAAATTGTCGACTGACTCCCCGTCTTTTTGTTTTTCATCCAGAAGGGTTCCGATTGACACTTCGGTGTCATCATCGAAGAAGTTGCTGAGGAACAAATTTTCTATGTCATCCCAGCAATTGATGCTCCCTGGCTTGAGCCGTCGGTACCAATCGAAGGCCGACCCGCGAAGGGTGCCAACGAATGACCGGACCATTAAAGCCTCATTTCCGGAGATCATACTCAAATGAGACTTGAAATAAATCAAGTGCTGAATAGGCGAGTTCTTCCCGTCAAACGGTGTGAAGTTAATCATGTTGAATTTTGCCGGGTACGGTATTGAATTCCATTCTCTTGGATAGGGACATGGAATACCCGTCTTTTTCACTTCTTGAGCCGTCATCAAAGCGTTGATTTTGTTTTCAAGCTCTTTCATTTTCTCATCATCGTCTATGTCTTCATTTGAAGGACGTTGAGGAGAATGAGTTAGACCACCCCCTGTAAGAGGTGCCATTGAACCACCCCCAATATCGTTATTGGGAGGGTGTGTTAAACCACCCCCAGCGTTATTGCTATTGGGAGGTGTATCAGCAAAGATGACTTCATCCACTTCTGGATCACTATCATCTGCCACATTCTGAGTGTGGCGGCTGGATTCAGCTCGCTGACTGGACTCAGGAGGTTGAGGCCGTTGAGTTAGCACTTCTCTCATTTATTGGATAGTTAGCTCCATCTCTGTCTTCATCTCAGCTCTGATTTCTTCATGTTGCTTCGCTAGAGCTTCTTGAAGCATTTGAGCAAATTGATCAGAGGTGATCGTGAGTACTTCTCTGGTTTGTCCCGTGCTAGATATTGTATCATCAGAAGCGATTGCAGAACAAGTGTCCGAGAATTCATCCTCCGAGGACATTCCTTCTTGCATTCTTTTGTAATCTCTGCGTCTGATGGCTCCTAATTGGAGTCGAGACATCCTTTGAGCAATTCTTGGATTGACTTTTCCTCCCGGAGAAAAGTCGGGATTTGAGTCACTTGAATGCCGCTTAGACTTTCTTTTATCAGCCACGTTGATAGTGACTTCAGGGAATTCATCATCTTGGGCAGCTGATTTTCTTTTGCGGAAATGTCTCGGTTTAGGCTTAGATAATACAGAGACTCTTCGTGGGATGGCTTCTCGTTTGTAACAGTCACATTCTGATAATGCTGCTTTAACGAGTCGCGCACAGGAACAATGAGAGCGAATAATTCTTTTTCAAAATTTA